CGAAATGAACAATTTTTGTCTAACTGTTGTTCTTTGAAAGTGACTCAGCTGTTCAGTGTTGAAGTCGAAAATATGACAAACTGTTTATGAAATTGCGAAAACCGAGATTTGCTAAACTTGTGTCCTGTGTGAGGAAAATACTGGCTGTGCTGTCAAGGATTTCGTAAGAAATCGTGGACCAGAACTGCCACGAAATGCAGCACTGAATGCAGAAAACACATTGATAGCATCACTGTTGTAATAAATAGAGAGAAGTATTCGCAGAATCACACGGAGAAACCGTGTGAAACTTTCGATGTTACTGCGATCAAACCATTCCTCGAAGGTGCGGCTCAGCTTTTGTGGCTTAGAAGTAACAGTGTTATTACTGTTTTCAGTACCTGAAAAAAATGAAACAGCATTTTCAGCACACTTTCCATCGGTGCCAGATGACAATTTTCCTAGTTCCTAAACCAGCAGTAATGGTCAGCAAATATCTTGACCTTCGTTTCGTCCCGCGATGGAATTAGCAGATAATGGTTCTCACGGCAGAAGTAAGGCTATAATTGTTTTGAGATATACATGTTGTGCTTTGAGTATCACCACATCTTACTGGACATAACCACGATGAAACGCCTTGTCAGCTGAATCGTCTATCTGACAGTTAAAAATTTGATGCGTCAGCTCTTTCAGACTTGATGCTGCAATTTTTTTGTAGCCGAAGGCATGTTTCGAAGGTACTTTTTCCAGTAGTTATCCGGGTTTACGGGCCAATCATTCAAAGGCAAAAAAAAGTTTATTAGTTAGATATTTTGGTTGAACTCGTTGCTGTTCGTTTCAGTTTTTCTCTCCGAAAAGATTCACTTGTGTTTGAACGAGCTAGGCATTTGGAAACATCCCAGTAGCAGCAGCAGCACCACAGCCATTTGGAATTTCCGAAACCGATGGTTGAGGTGATATTTAGTAGATAAGCTTCACCCGTGTTGCTGAGGATCATTGTATAGCGTGAAGTTTTTGAGAACGCTACCCACTTCCTAATTGG